TTATTAGAGCATAAGCTTTCGTGGGCTCCCCACGAAAGCTTATGCTCTAATAAATTTGTTAGTCTCTAAGGTGCCACAAGTACTCCTGTTCTTTTTGAGGATACAGACTAACACGGCTGCTACCCTGAAACCACTCACTTTGAAATAAACTATAGGACAATCAGACTCAACTCCATTCCCTGAACTAACAGTGGTCACACAGAACTTATATATCTGAGGCTGATGACACCATAGCCCTGCCTAGAAAGGCTAATGGAAATGTCAGCACTAATAATTAATGCAATTCAAAGATCCTTTCCCACAGCATAGCTGTTGCCAGTTTAAATTTATAAGGCATATGAGGAGGCCCCTCATTGAAGAGAGGAAAAATTGGATTCAGATAATCAAGTACTGGAGAAACTGTTAGGAGTGCTTCTCCTCCAAGTTATGCTGCAGGGCACTTCCTGAGACTCAATGTAGTATTTACATTCCAAGGAACCAAAAGCTTCCATCAAAGCATCTGATCCGGGATCTTCTAGTAGACCTGAAAGGAGAGAGAGAACAGGCCAGACATTAGGGGAGGAAAGGGAGTGGTAATAAATAGCAACTAAAACCCCACAAAGAAGGGATTTATACCTGCCTCTGGAGATTTCCATTACTTGCATCTGAAGAAGTGAGGTTCTTACCCACGAAAGCTTATGCTCCCAATACTTCTGTTAGTCTTAAAGGTGCCACAGGACCCTCTGTTGCTTTTTACAGATTCAGACTAACACGGCTACCCCTCTGATACTTGACAAAGAAGGGAAATGATTGATATAAAATCATGACTAATGTGGAGAAAGTAAATAAGGAAGTGTTATTTACTCCTTCTCATAACACAAGAACTAGGGGTCACCAAACTAAATTAATAGGCAACGGGTTTAAAACAAACAAAAGGAAGTATTTCTTTACACAATACACAGTTAACTTGTGGAACTCTTTACCAGAGGATGTTGTGAAGGCCAAGACTATAACGGGGTTCAAGAAAGAACTAGATAAATTAATGGAGGATAGATCCATCAATAGCTATTAGCCAGGATGGGCAGGGATGGTGTCCCTAGCCTCTGTTTGCCAGAAGCTGGGAATGGGCGACGGGGGATGGATCACTTGATGATTACCTGTTCTGTTCATTCCCTCTGGGGCACCTGGGATTGGCCACTGTCAGAAGGCAGGATACTGGGCTAGACAGACTTTGGTCTGACCCAGTATGGACGTTCCTATGATTATTTCAAGCCTGAACACTGAATAGCAGGTGTCTGAATACAGCATACAGTTGCCCCACTCAACCTGACTAATATTTCAGTATTGAGCGCTGTATACATACCTACAGAAAATTAAATGCACCCAATTCTGGGGTGGAGAATGGCAATCGGCACAACATAGTCAATACTGTGACAATTTGTAAAGCTAAAATAAGACAAGACTTTTTACTACCACGGGCAGGAGGATGGGCACCTCATAAGTCATTGCCATCTCTATTTTTTATGATCCTATGTCAATAATGGCTTCACATTTTAATTCACTGCCTTGCAAATAAGATAGCTTATTTAACCCTTCAAATGCCAATGCAAGTGGATGGACTTTGTTAAATCCTCATGAAATGCTTCTAAAATCAGTATTACACCCTGAAAACAGGCACCTGTAGAGCTCTCTGAATATACTGTTGTGATGTTATTGACTTGAACTGGGACCATATAGAACATGGTTGCAACCAAAGTCCTGTAGTGGCACCAAATCTTGTATAAAGGGGGTCAAATAGGGTGTCTAAGACAAGGTTATGGTTTACTGGTTATGATTATGTTGTCTATATGTGTGTATCAATTTGGTAATTGAAGTTATGAATATTGGCTCTATACTGTCTGTATTTCAAACTTACGCTAAGCTTCTGGGCGACAACCCAGACAAGTTGGTGTTAGCTCTGCCTAGCCTGCTTGATGGCCCATTAAGGACCATCAGCTATACAATGGACCCATTGAGAGAAGGCAGATATGCCTTGAGACTCGGCAAAGTATGCAGGGACTTGCCCATGTGACTCCAAAACTCCATTTTGCTGTAATTTTCCACAGTAAGAACAAAGAGGTGTTCTTACACCTGGAAAAGACTATAAAAGGCTGATGCCTCATCTCCATCTGGTCTTCAATCCTGCTTCATACCTCTGGAGGGACTTCGCTACAAACAGAAGTGCTACACAAAGGACTGATGACCCATCCCAGCTGGGGATGTACTCCAGAGACTTGATTTTGAACCTGCAGTTTATTCTATTACTGCTACAAACCTGAACCAAGAACTTTGCCATTACTGTATGTAATTGATTCCATTTAACCAATTCTAGCTCTCATCTATATCTTTTTCCTTTTATGAATAAACCTTTAGATTTTAGATTCTAAAGGATTGGCAACAGCGTGATTTGTGGGTAAGATCTGATTTGTATATTGACCTGGGTCTGGGGCTTGGTCCTTTGGGATCGAGAGAACCTTTTTTCTTTTACTGGGGTATTGGTTTTCATAACCATTTGTCCCCATAACGAGTGGCACTGGTGGTGATGCTGGGAAACTGGAGTATCTAAGGTAATTGCTTGTGTGACTTGTGGTTAGCCAGTGGGGTAAAACCAAAGTCCTCTTAGTCTGGCTGGTTTGGTTTGCCTTCGAGGTGGAGAAACCCCAGCCTTGGGCTGTAACTCCCCTGTTTTAAGCAATTGGTCCTGAATTGGCACTCTCAGTTGGGTCCCGCCAGAGCCAGCATCGTTACAACTGTGCAGTGCTTGGTCTAAGACAGAGGTCTCAAACACGCGGCCCGCAGGGTTCTTGTGTGTCGCCCACCAAGCTCCCTGCATCCCGTCCCTCCCCGCCCCTCTGCCTACTTGGGGGATTGCCTCCTGATGCTGCAAGCGCCATGCTGCTCTCTGAAGCAGCCGGCAGCACGCCCCTTCAGGCCAGGGGGAGGGGGAAGAAGGCAGAGGGCTCCGGCATTGCCTCCTTCCAGGCACCGCCCCCCACAACTCCCATTGGCCAGAAACAGGGAACCGCGGCCAATGGGAGCTTCGTGGGAGGTACCTAGAAGAGCGGCAAGAGCAACACAAGCAGGGAAACCTGAGCCTCTCCCCCTCTGGCTGCAGGGACATGGTTCCAGCTGCTTCCTGGAACGCAGCAGCATGGAGCCGGGGCCAAGGCAGGCAGGGAGCCTGCCCTGGCCCCAGTGAGCGCTGCTGCCACCCCAGAGCTGCTCTAGGCAAGCGGCACCAGGCTGGAGCTCACACCCTGAACCCCTCCGGCACCCCCAAGTCCCTGCCCTGAGCCCCCTGCCACATCCCACACCCTTCCTGCACCCCAACTCCCTGCCCTGAGCCCCTGCCACATCCCACACCTCAACTCCCTGCCCTGAGCCCCCTGCCACATCCCACACCCCTCCTGCACCCCCAACTCCCTGCCCTGAGCCCCCGCCATATCCCACACCCCTTCTGCACCCCCAACTCCCTGACCTCAGCCCCTGCTGCACCCTGCACCCTTTCTGCACCCCCTGGGGGAAGTGTTGGGGTGGGGACTTCAGGGAAGGGATTGGAATGGGGCAGGGAAGGGGTGGGAAGAGGTGGGGCAGGGGCGGGGCCTAATTGGAAGGGGTGGAGTGGGGCGGGGCCAGAGGCGGCCGGGGGAGGGAGGGTTCAGTGATGCGGCCCTCGGGCCAATGCACTAGTCCTCATGCAGCTCTCGGGGTCATCTGAGTTTGAGACCCCTGGTCTAAGATAACATTGCTGGAAACAGAAACTAGCTGAAGGGTACTATCCTCTGAGATACAGGGAGTAGGACTGGGCCCAAGATGTGCAACCCCAGAGGATGGTCTGGTCTGGCCTGGCCTGGCATGTCAGGAGTTAACATTTCCAGACAGAGAGTTATCTACAATTATCTTGGAAGTATCCCTAGATGTGGACTCCAAATAAATAAGATATAACACAGGCAATCAGCTCTGAAACTTGCATTTTCTTCCCTGTCTTTTTAATAGTCTGTGCCCAGTAATGGCCAGTTTTTGGGGAAAGAACATTAACTACTTACCCAGTAGCATGGAATCCCCATGCACTGAAACTAGATCAGAGTCACACTGGCTGATGGCCTGAGAATCTAAAAATGCAGTCAAACTAACCTGAATTTATCTCTATCTTCTTGCTAACCCAAGCACTACTGCAGCAAGACACACTTTGACAGTGTGTTTAGTTGTATGAACTTGAACAAGCTGTAACACTTGAAAATTTAAATGCTAAAACACACAAACAAGTGAATTCCAGAAAAAGTGACATTAACAAAGAACCGATTATAATAATCTAACATTTTACCCTTTTACAGTGGCTTCCAGCTGACAATCTCAAAGTGCTTTACAAACATTAATTAACCCTTGCAGCCCGTCATGATGTAGGGAAGCATTATTATCCGCATTTTACTCATTGAGAAATTAAGGCAGAGAGAAGTTAAAGCTTCGTTTTTCACAAGTGGCCACTGATTTTGGGTGCCCATCTAAAGGTACTTTGGATGTGACTGTTACAAGTACTTAGCAACCATCACTCCAGCGGGAGCTGGCTTTACTCATCACCTTGAAATGGTGTCTCAAGTTGGACACCCCAAAATGAGGGCAACCAAAATCAGTAGCTAACATTGACAAATGTGCCCATAAGTGACTTACTTAAGGTCGTCCAGCAAGTTAATGGAAGACCTGGGAATTGGAGAGGATGTAGTTACTTGCTGAGGAGAGGTTTGCAAAAGTAGCTCTTTAGGCTCACTGACACTCACACGGTTTTTCAGCTTTTCTTGTGCAGCATGATCACAAATGCTATGATCCAGTGTATCAGCAGCTGGGTGCATCAGGGTAACAGTTCTGGTTTGACATGATTCAACATCACTGTCTGCATCAGAATCTGAAATTTCCCAGGCAGTAGCTCTTTTAATAACTCTGTTGATTTTGCCATTGGATTGATTCTTTGAATTTTCCTCCATGGTTTTATTTTTCTCTTCAGCACTTCTAATTACCTAAAAGACTAACATTGTTTGCTTAGAAAATGCAGAGGCACTCAATATTCTGTACCAATTTCTAATATATAAATGCACTAAACCTTATTTATTTTTAAAACATTTATCTAAGTGATACATTTTGTTTTGCTTAGGTTAGTTTTAATTAAAAATGAAGAAAAAAGGATTAATTAAAAACCTAAATTCCTCTCATAGGAAGTAAATCCTAGCTTACGACAAACAAGCAGCTCAGTGATAGGATATGGAGCCTTTCACTTTGAATCTACCACTCATTCAAATCCACAGCAGGTCAGCTCTGACTGAAATTCACCAATTAAGACCCAAACAAGAACTAGCCTATGAGAATAATCACTCCTGGAGGACAGGCACCAACATCCCAAAGCACCTAATTAGTACTAATCATTTCCCTTGCTGGAAATATCAGCAGAGAGGCTAAGGACTGAATGGGCCATAGACTGAATTCCCCTCTTACTCTTATTGGTGGTCTATCCAAGTCAGTTGAGGCACTGGACAGTGTGGGAGGGAGCTTGCTCTGCCATTGTCCAGGTGGCTACAATATTTCAGCAGTATTGCCAACTCCACACATTCAAAAATTATCAATCAGGCCTAAAAAAAAAAAAAATCAAGACTGCTTACAAATCATGATTTTTAAAAAATAAAAAATAAAAGGGTTCCTTTTGTGATGTTGCACTCCATAATGTTTTATGGAAATAGGCTTATGAGTGTGAATATGATGTAACTGGAATATGTTTTATGAAAAAGATCTCTTGTAAGGTATCATAACAAAGGTTATACCTACTGAATATATTCATCCTATTTGTATATATGTATCATTCTTGTATCTGAAGCTAGAAATATAAAGTATAACTCTGAGGTACTAATTATGCAAAGTGTGGGCCATTGATGGTGGTTTAGAATCTTGATGGCTCCCATTGACTAGGACAATTGGTTGCAAATGGCTCTGTTTACTTGCAAGCCTTCCTGTGTTCCTGTGAGCCAGCCCAGGAAGAATGGAGGCTAGGGTCTCACAGGACATGTGAACGTGTCACTTGATACTGGAATCCATCTTGAACCTGGTATTTTTCCATTTAGAAGGAAGGGTGGGGACCCAGAGAGACAAAAGACTCCCGCCTTGTACCTAAGTTATAAAAGGGGGTGGAAGAGAACAAACGGAGCTGCCAGTCATAAGAAAACCCATAGTTAACATCTAAGATGGCTGCTGGAACTAACAAGGACTGTACTGGGGGGAAGATTGGGCCCAGACTAGGAAGGAATCTAGTCTGTGAAAGAAACTTATTGGAACATCTCTGAGGGTGAGATTTTACCTGTAAACAGTTTCTTAATGTATTAGGCTTAGACTTGCATATTTTTGCTTTATTTTGCTTAGTGACTTACTTTGTTCGGGAAATAGGAACAGAGGCTAGAACTGCACAGGCTGCAAATTGCTAAGAAGGAAAGAGAGACCGCAAGCCCCGGACTTAAAAGACAAAGAACTTGAGGCACAGAAACAGGCTCAAATTGAAGCACAAAAAGCTGCCCACCAGCAAACCCTGGACTTAAAAGACAAAGAAATTGAGGCCCAGAGACAAGCACAAATTGAAACCCAGAAGCATGAACTGGCTGTAATGGAGTGGAAGAGGTGCACAGAGTCATGTATCCTGGAGGTGGAAGTTGGGGTCCTGGTGACTGCTGCAGTGAGAACAGACTCCAAAGACTCTGTAGCTGGAAGCAAGCCCAACCTGAGTGAAAGGAGGGTGGGGGATTTTACTGGCCAGTGAAGGGTCTGTCATAGCTGGTAGCTGTGAGCCCACAACTAGGTCAGGGTCACATTCCCTTTTGGGGAACACAAGAGTGTCTGCCTCAGAGGGGAGCCCAGAGAGGGAAGTCCAGACAGAAGGTGTTGTTCTTGCTACGCTTGTAATAGATAACACTATCTTCAAGGCAGGGGAGGTAAAGCTTTGCATTTGGGAAGCTTCACAAGGGGGTGGGGCCCAACACAAAGAGATTCCAGAGGGAGGGGCTGAGGGCAGGCATGGTTGCAGTGCATCCTTTCCTTGTCAAACCCTCAAACACATGCCTGAAGTGAGAGCCTACTCTAAAGAGGCAGGAGAATCTGTATCTGAACACTCACCGTGGTACACAAAAGGATTGGGAAATGCAATAGATGTTGAACAAGCCAAACTATGTGAATGGAGTCTTTCATAAATTAGCTGTTAATCTTGTGTCTTTTCTTAACTCCACTTCTGGGTCAAGTCAAAGAAGTGAATACTAATGGTAAACCTTTTAAAGATGCGTCTGACGAAGCGAGTATTCACCCACGAAAGCTTATGCTCCAATACATCTGTTAGTCTTAAAGGTGCCACAGGACTCTGTTCCTTTGAAGATGTCACATACCTAATTTTTGGAAAAAACTTTTGTACATGCTAGGGATGGTGACACCTTTTCTTTGTGGTTTTTGATCATACAGAATGCACTCAAGTCATGTTTCAAAGTTTTTATCTGTAATCACAAGGGCAAGACATTTCTTTTTTTAAATAAAAGGGAAGTTGAGATTCTCCCAGAACCCCAGGTTCTAGAGCTTTAAGAAAACCCCCAAATATTGTGAAACTGCAATAAAATCACGGGCAGTACTGCTTCAGCGTCCAGGCCTGGCATTAGGCATCTGTTACAAGTGCTCAATTCACATTACAATATTCAAGGGAAAAATCATTTTTAGACACTAGAATTACGACTGAAAATAGCCTGAAGTGCTGCCAATAAGAGCCAATACAGATCTGGGGCATATCTGAGCCGTGTCTGCTCTGAGACGCGCAGGGCTACGCAGAGCCTGGGGGGGCAGTGACCGCAAGGAGACTGGGAGTCCGGAGAACTCTAGCTTGGAAGGGAGCCCACTGCTCGGCAGCTCCTCCCAGAGTCCTCGGGCAGCGGGGGAGCTGGGTGGGAGACCCATCATGTCACCGATATACACAGAGGCTCCCCCCGCCCTGACATACATCCCCATGGGGAAGCCCACCAGCCCCCAGGAGAGAGATCCCCCCACCTCCCATGACTGCGCTTCCTCACTCGGGCAGACCTAGGCACCAGGCGTAGCGCGCTGCTCTAACCAGTCCCCCGCTGCCCCAGTGCAGCAGGAATGTTCCGCTCCGTACAGCAGCCAAGCGCTGCCCCAGTCTAGTGAGCGCGCCCCTCGCTGACTAGCCGATTGCTTCCGGGGAGCTGACGGCTGGTGCGTTTCCGTTGCTACGGGAAGTTCCGGCCGGCCGGGTTAGGATGATGCACCGCCCTAGGGCGACAGAGGTCCGTGAGAGGGCTCGTGCGTTGGGAAGTATCCCGGGCTGGGAAGCTTGGTGTCTGAGGGGAGGAAGGGAAGAGGAGTCCGGGGGACCAGTAGCATCAGCATCTCTCTGGTGCCGTCTGTGCTGAACCTGCCCGGCTGGCCCGTGAGCTGCCATTGCCATGGCTCGTAAGAAGCTGTACCGCCCAATCGCCGCCATGGCCAAGAAGATCCGTGAGTACCGGGCACTGAAGAACCGTCCCCGAGACTCCCAGCGCTTCGCCCTGGATTACGAGACGATGATCCGACCCTTCACGAACAAACGCCTACCTGTGCTGGCCTGGGAGGATGTGAGGAACGAGAACCGCCTCTTCACGCTGCTCTGCCAGCTGCGGCTCTTTGGCATCGGCCGCATGGTCACCCGCAAGTATTGGCTCTGGCAGTATGACGAGCCCTGCTACTGGGTCGTTACCAAGGTCAGGGTGGACTACACAGCTGAGGTGAGAGCGCTTGACTGTTGGCCTTGGGGTTTGAAGGCACTCAGATACTATGGTAACAAGCACCATAGATAGAGACAAGGCTGGTGGAAATGAGGACTTCCAGTGAGACCTGCCCTCTCCAAAGCTGGCTCCCAAATCACCATTATGCAACCCCATTAAACTATCTCTATAGTATTCACAGCCTCTCTTATATCACAGCTCCATATTAAAACACTTGAATCTCCTCTCCTCATGTGTGCCTCAGGAAGCACCAGGTCATGGATTCAGAGGAGGCACCATGTAATGAAAATCTACAATTTAGGACAGCCTGAGGGAGGGTATGATAGTACCCAAGCACTGTGGAAACAAGGGTATCAGTCTGAGCCACTATGTTCAGGGCCGGCTCCAGGCACCAGCATAACAAGCAGGTGCCTGGGGCGGTCAATGAAGAGGGGGGCGGCACGTCTGGCGGCAATTCAGCGATGGACCTGCTGCTGAATTGCCGCCATAGAATGAAGCAGCACTAGAGCTGCTGCTGATCGCGGCTTTTTTGTTGTTGTTGTTTGTTTTTGCTGCTTGGGGCAGCAAAATCGCTAGAGCCAGCCCTGACTATGCTTCAGAGTTCAGAACACTGATTAGTATTTGTACTACAGTTTATGCGTGAACATAAGGATCAGGACCTTAATGGTCGCACCTGTAGTTGTATGGAGTCATTACAGGGCTGATAGCAGGCAGTATATAGTATTGAGACACATTATGCAGCATTCTTCATCACAAAATTCATTGCAGGGATTGTCTAATGGCATTTGCTTAGTATTCTAGAAGGATAGTAGTGGCCACGATTAGCAGTTATTCAGTTCCCAGGTGTAGGACTCACTTTTTGTAGATCATGAGTAATAAGACTATAAAATGAGTTTGTCCTTTTTGTGAATGGGAATGGTTCTTTAATTGATCAGAGCAAATTTTTGTTTGTTTTCTTTGCAGACTTTGGATCATGGGAAAGCCTGGGGATATTTGACATTCAGAGGTAAATAGAGCTTGGTGTTTGTCTCTCAAACAGGATTAGAGAAAAAAGTAAATGGATAGGGACAGGAACTGACATGGGAGGAAAAAGGTGGTGGCTTTCTTGCCACTCAGCAGTCTTCCTCCACTGGTAGCTCTCTCTTTCCACTCATCTATAATAGGAAGTTTTCCTTTTCTTAATTTCGTCCTAACAGTTCGATCTAGTCCACTGTGGAATAAATTTCACAAGGAAAATGATAGAAGTCCCCTTTGTCATTTAAAACTAGCTTGAAGAAATCCCTGGAGACTATACCACAGTGAACAATTTGTGTTGGCAAAGAAATGGAGTCTATGACAAATCCGGTCTCTTCCATCTCTGACTTCTGTAATAGCTAAAAACAGTGGATAAACACGCTAGCTGAATGTTCCTGCTAAAATCAATAATGAAATAGCAATGTTGTCATTTAAGTTGCCATCATTAGGGTTCAGAATCAGTACTTTCATTGAGACAAACGGGAAATTCCCCATGTTCTGAAAGCTATTTTACACCATGTATGAGGTTTATAATTTATTTAATAAAATTTTACACTTCTAGTATCTTTAATTCAAGGATCTCAAAGTGTTTTATAAACATTAATGAATTCAACTTCCCAACATCCCTGTAAAGCAGGAAACCATTATTTTTATTTTATAGATATGGAAACTAAATCAGAGAGAGGTGAAATATCTTGCTCAAGCTAACAGAAGTGGTCAACAGCAAAGTCAGGACTACAATCCAGATGTTCTGTCAGTCTGTGTTATCTGCTATACAACCTGTAGTGGGAGTGTGTAGTGTAGCAGATAGTGTAACTATCATAAAATATCCAGTGCTATGCCCAGCTGAAGCATTGGAGACACTGCACTGGCATAGTCACCAATATGGAGTTTGTTGTTCATATTGTTTACCTATTCATCATCATCTTTCCTTAGGCAAGACGTATAATGAAGTGAAAGAGATTGACAAGGTCATGTATCATGACTGGAGGATGGTGCCCAAACATGAAGAGGAGGCCTTCAAGAAATTTACTCCAGTGTCAGTGGAAACCATTCAGTGTGTGCCATACCCCCCTCTGCTCCGAGCCATGATCCTTGCGCAAAGGCAGAAGGAAGGAAAACTTAACACAGAGGAACCACTGATTGATCTGGAGAAAATCATCTCCTTCACAAAGGACTACTTTCAAAATCAGAAAAAAGCTAAGGGGACACCAGTGTGAAGGTCTAGAGCTGAGTGTGATGGAGCTTCTGAAACGCTCTCTAATACTCTGCGTGTTGACAGCTCATACAGTCTCCTTAATGAAGAATAGGACCATAAGCCACATGTCCACTTCTGGTTCAATGTACCGAAATTTAATACCTTGGCCTCTCAGTACTGTACACATGCAGGTGTGTGACTTTCTCATATATATTCAGAAAGATGTAGAGACACTCAGGATTTTTAGCGATCTTTTCTTTGCAGAGGGTCCTCCCTTTTGATTCCCTGCCTTTTCTCCTGATGTATGTCTCCTGGTGTCCAGGTCCCAATGACAGCTACCATCCCTCTGTGCAGGAAGACCACAAATGAGACTCTTTTAGTTTAGTTTAGCCCCATAATTAATTTAAAGCACAATAATGGTCAGAAGAATGACTTTAAAAAGGGCACCATCTTTATCTATAGACCTTGCTACCCATCTAATGACTTCAGTAAATACATGTTTATTTCTTTTTTACTTCTGTTATCCCTCTACCACAGTTGCAAGGACATGAGTTGGATTCTAGTCTGTCTTGTGGACCATCAGCAGAAGTTTTAATTAAATTCCAATTTTAGAATCCTTTGCCTTGACACATAGAGGCATAACCTCAACTGCACCCAAACCAAGCCTATAAATACCACTCACTTCAGCCAGGATTGTGAAGTTCATGGGCAAAATGGAAAGAACCCACCTTGACTTTCCGATCCCACGTTGTTTGTCAAGTTGGCAGTGGTGAAAAAGAACCCATCTTTTTTTCTTGTAAACTGAGTGCAAGTTCCGACTCCTTTTGAAGTCAGTGGCAAGCTACCATTTGCTTCAATGGGAGCACTTTCCCATGGAAGTCACAGAGACAATAAACATGGAATGCCCCAATCCTATTTTTGGAGTCACTTATAAGAACAAAACTACTCTTAGACCCTCCCCCTGCAGTCTTTGCAGCATGCTAGGCCATCAGACTTCAGCCATAAAACTTGCTAGAAACCAATCAAGAAGAGTAAAGTGGATACATTTAAACCAATAACATAAATGATGATAAATATATTAGATGTTTACAATCTTTTTCTGTGAGCTTATGTGGTATTGGTGATACAATAAAGAAATTTGTCAGTAAAATTTCTCTTCACTCCAAAAAGGGATATGTGATGGGTTCCCCCCGGGGTGCCGAACTCAGGTACCACTGAGCCCCCTGACCCACCTGCCTGGGCTCCTTCCCTGTACTGCTATGACAAGCTGCAAAGTCCCCCAGCCTGTGCTTTCACTAGCATTTGTACAGGTAGGGACACACCCAGCTGCATTTACACACAGGCTCTCTCAGCTTCCCAGCCTGTGACCCTAGAGCAGTACTGTCCTGTCCTGGTTAAATCTGGCCAGTATATGGGTTTAATAACTGATCCACCTCTCCCTCAATGTGAAGAGGACCATGCACACTTGTGGTAACCAAGCTGCGATTTTCTCCAGACACCTTAGTCGAATGCACACTGGTTTGGATTAAAACATATAATAAGTGTATTAACTACAAAAGGATAGATTATAAATGATAGCAAACAGCTCAAAGCAAATTACCTAGTAAATAAACAAAACCGCCAACTGAGCTTAACATACTAATCACCCTGAGTGATAAACAGGCTGAAAGATTCTTAAGGCACAAGCTGCCTTGACTCTGCAGCTTGGGTTTTCCAAGTTTTCATACACAGGTTAGAAATCCCTCTAGCCTGGGACCATCATTTCCCACAGTTCCATTTTTTTTCCCTCAGGTGTTTCCAGGTGTGGTGTAGGGAGAGTGAGCCCCCCATGATGGCATTCTCCCCACCCTCTCCCCTTTATATCTACTTCCCACTTGCTGGAAAGCTCTTTTGCTGTGACCTGGATCAAACTGTTCCCATTGTGTAATGCTATCTTTGAAAGGTTTCTATTGTACACAGTTTCTGGGGTAATCCTTGTGTTTGTGTGCATATCCCCAATAAGCCTTTTTACTGTTGTACCTGAAAGGCTGCTTGTGGGTGATTTCAACCTCAGAACATGTTTCAGTAACACATACATAGCCAAACTTAATAACTTCACATACAATGATAGCACATACAATCCAATGAGTTATTAACGTCTAGCAGATCAAGACTTTTAGAATGATACCTCACAAGGCATACTTTGTACAAAACATATTCTAATTACATGACAGTGGTGACTATTGGGGTGCCAGGGTGTCACAGGATAATTATATTTTGAGAGTTATTCTTTGCCCTTTTCCACCCTTGGCATGAGCAATACTGTCCTTTCCATGCTCCCAACCCAGTAGAGAAGACATTGAGACTTGACCCTGGCTCTCCACCAAGATGCATCCATTTGGAAATAGCAGTGTTTTAATTGGTGGTGGTTATTGGTGGTGGTGTGGAAAATTGACCACACGGTTGATTTTGGATTAGACAGCCTGAGGCTTT